CGTCCCCTGAGTTTATGTAAGTATTAAATGTTGTAACAAATATTAGTTTTTTTTTAAGTATAAGTATGAGTTTTTTTTAATTTTTAGATTGATGATGATGATAGGTGTATACATTCACTAACCCTTAACTTTTACAACATTTAGACAAAAGCACAGCTTGTACCTTGGTTTGCAACAACGTCGGATTTGGGTACTTTACGGAAGTGCTTTTCCTCGTATGTGTATTAGACAAACATGAATGGATTCTCTAAAAAGGACTAGGGGACCTTGACAATTATCTTTTCAAATGACTATAACATTAATAATGCTCTGGTGACGATCCTATGCACTGGTTATCGTTTACCTGTCCCACAACCTGTTGAAGCAAGTCCTTTGAAAATTTGGCAATTTTCAGTGCTCAGGTTTTATTGCACTTATCTACCACTCTCCTTAACTTTTCAAAATTTTGTATGTGTATTAGACAAACATGAATGGATTCTCTAAAAAGGACTAGGGGACCTTGACAATTATCTTTTCAAATGACTATAACAATAATAATGCTCTGGTGACGATCCTATATCCTAATATGTGAGTCGCTGTCTCCAGAATCCATAATCGCCATTCATATTGCCAGTTCTTTACGACCTACCTTAGTCCTTAGTATTTCTTCTAAAAATCATCCCGTCATCTACTTTAAGATCGGGTAAACGCTCCTTGTTTTTTATCATTTCTCTCATATCTAAATATCATACATCATCGAATGTATTGGGATCAAAATCTACCAGTTGACTTAGATTAAAGTCGTCTTGGAAATGTATCAGCCACCACATTCTCATTACTCTTCCGATGCTCTATCTGGAAAAAAATGTCTAAATGTCTGAAGCTGTAGTGACTAACGTGCGAGACTTCCAATTAGATCTTTTAAGTTCATGAGCCATTGGAGGCGTTCATGGCTGATTGCATATTGTCTGTACTTTTGTACACCGACATGATAGGCGCAATACATTCTTTTTCCGTTACGTTGTAACTTCGCTGATGAGAATTGAGTTTTTGAGAAAATAACACAACGCTTTTTATGCCCATAGTCAAATTGGCGTTTCTCATGCAGTTGGCAACTTCTACTAATAACTTCAAATGTTGGTCAAAATCACTTGAAATGACCAAGAGATCATCTAGATACACGAATACGTTATAATTAATCTCGTTTGGGACGACCTTGTTCATTAAGCGACATAGACGCTGCACCGAGTTGCATAGCTCAAAGACCTTTACGCGAAATTGTATGGTATGGTTAAGGCGTCCAATAGAAGAGTATTTTATTTCATATAATAAGTTTCGTCGATCCTACTTAGTATCCCCATACGGCATACTTCTCCGTCAATTTATTTAATTTCCTGGCATTTAAACAAAAACGATTTTCCCGGGTTTTGAAACCACAAGTTCCTTTATATTTCTTCCAAAGGGATGCTGTATAGCGCCTGCAAGCGCTTCACACAAAATATAAAGTCTTCGATTGTTAACCTTTGCACGTTTCCGTCGAAATTCAAACCGAATGTATCCACTGTAATCCTAGCAAGATCGTTTATGAATGGCGTTTGGATAAACGTGGTATTGGTAGACGGGTTACTCATAGAAACTTTCATGGAGTACGCACTAGAGTTGGGCATTACATACGACTCTAGTTGCGGCATGTTAGCACTTAGATTGGGGATATTGAAAAATTTTTCGTATATCTTGTTTTCTACCCCAACAATACGTTTTATTTTATCCTCTAAGTCTCTTTCTGTCGGGTTCCTCGCAGTTCCAAGTGTCGAGAATCGTTTCACGGCACTTTCTACTCCCGCTCCTGTAACACTATCTACTACCTCAACTGGCCCTGAAGGATGAACGAACGTAGCTGATAAGTCCTTAAACTGAGCGTTTTCTTCAGACTCTTTTATCCTGATCTAATGCTGAATTAAAAGCTGATGATTTGATCTAATGCTAATGTCAGATTCGTAGTAAAGGACATCGATCGTTATCATTCACTCGACTAACAGTTAATAACCTATTTACCTCTCGTCTATACTTCGTCCCCTGAGTTTATGTAAGTATTAAATGTTGTAACAAATATTAGTTTTTTTTTAAGTATAAGTATGAGTTTTTTTTAATTTTTAGATTGATGATGATGATAGGTGTATACATTCACTAACCCTTAACTTTTACAACATTTAGACAAAAGCACAGCTTGTACCTTGGTTTGCAACAACGTCGGATTTGGGTACTTTACGGAAGTGCTTTTCCTCGTATGTGTATTAGACAAACATGAATGGTTTCTCTAAAAAGGACTAGGGGACCTTGACAATTATCTTTTCAAATGACTATAACATTAATAATGCTCTGGTGACGATCCTATGCACTGGTTATCGTTTACCTGTCCCACAACCTGTTTAAGCAAGTCCTTTGAAAATTTGGCAATTTCCAGTGCTCAGGTTTTATTGCACTTATCTACCACTCTCCTTAACTTTTCAAAATTTTGTATGTGTATTAGACAAACATGAATGGATTCTCTAAAAAGGACTAGGGGACCTTGACAATTATCTTTTCAAATGACTATAACAATAATAATGCTCTGATGACGATCCTATGCACTGGTTATCGGTTACCTGTCCCACAACAACAACGTCGGATTTGGGTACTTTACGAAAGTGCTTTCCCTCGTATGTGTATTAGACAAACATGAATGGATTCTCTAAAAAGGACTAGGGGACCTTGACAATTATGTTTTCAAATGACTATAACATTAATAATGCTCTGGTGACGATCCTATGCACTGGTTATCGTTTACCTGTCCCACAACCTGTTTAAGCAAGTCCTTTGAAAATTTGGCAATTTTCAGTGCTCAGGTTTTATTGCACTTATCTACCACTCTCCTTAACTTTTCAAAACATAATCATGTATTTTATGCAAAAATTATAAATTCAAACAATCAAAAGTCATAAAAACATTTTAGACATACAAAGCTAAATGATAATTTAGCTGTAGTATATGAATTCAGGAACAGTTAAAACGTTAAATCTTTACAATGTATTTAAAACCAATCTATCTACCTATTTTGCATTTCACACAAATTCTGTATCAAAACAAATTTACATTGGTAATACTACCAATTTATGTCCAATATACGTTTCAAATGCCCTTTAGGCGTATAAATGTGTAAACAATATTGGGTTTCACACAATATATTTTGTACAAAATCGAAGTAAGTTTTCCAATCGGAACAATTCACATTTGCGTATTGCTCTTTGTTTTCTTAATTAATAGGTGAGTCGCTGTCTCCAGAATCCATAATCGCCACTCATATTGCCAGTTCTTCACAACCTACCTTAGTCCTTAGTCATTCTTTTAAAAATCATCCCGTCATCTACTTTAAGATCGGGTAAACGCTCCTTGTTTTTTATCGTTTCTCTCATATCTAAATCTACCAGTTGACTTAGATTAAAGTCGTCTTGGAAATGTATCAGCCACCACATTCTCATTACTCTTCCGATGCTCTATCTGGAAAAAAATGTCTAAATGTCTGAAGCTGTAGTGACTAACGCGCGAGACTTTGAATTAGATCTTTTAAGTTCATGAGCCATTGGAGGCGTTCATGGCTGATTGCATATTGTCTGTACTTTTGTACATTTCACACAAATTCTGTATCAAAACACATTTACATTGGTAATACTATCAATTTATGTCCAATATACCTTTCCATTGCCCTTTAGGCGTATAAATGTGTAAACAATATTGGGTTTCACATAATATATTTTGTACAAAATCGAAGTAAGTTTTACAATCGGAACAATTCACATTTTGCTCTTTGTTGCACTAACTAAACAGCTAAATTACATATACAATATTTTGGAAGTCATAAACATAGTGAATTCCCACAAAATCTTAAAGATTCTCCTCACTTTCCCATTTATTACATAATAATAAAAGAAAGTAATTATTAAATGTATCTTACGTATTATTTTCTTCCACATTTGTTTGAAATAACAAATATAAAATTGCGAGCCTCTTTAATGCCTATTAACGCTGAGTCAATTATAATTAATGTCTAGTAAATGATTTGAAAATAAATACATAAAACAAAAAAAGGAAAATTTAAGACTTTCTGCTATGGAGGCATGTGTGTTTCGTATCTAGCCACAGTCAGTCAGAGATTTGAAGCATTCCCCTATGGACAAACACAAAACTTGGCATGCTAGGGTTGTGTCGAAATGTTTATCACAGGTAGGCATTTTATTCCACCTTAAAGTTTGTATATAAAATTTCATCCGGTTTACGCTGAGTCAATTATAATTAATGTCTAGTAAATGATTTGAAAATAAATACATAAAACAAAAAAAGGAAAATTTAAGACTTTCTGCTATGGAGGCATGTGTGTTTCGTATCTAGCCACAGTCAGTCAGAGATTTGAAGCATTCCCCTATGGACAAACACAAAACTTGGCATGCTAGGGTTGTGTCGAAATGTTTATCACAGGTAGGCATTTTATTCCACCTTAAAGTTTGTATATAAAATTTCATCCGGTTTACGCCCAACACCGTATTTGAAACAAAGCAACTAAGCAAAATCCTTAATCCGACACAAAACTGGCTTCTTTTCAAAACTATTTTTATAGGTTACATTTTTAAAGTTAATGTCTACGGAACTACAAGAGATATCGATACATATCGCTCCCATTTAAAAAGGGAAGAGTGTAGAATATTGTTTGGCATATAAAACTTATTACCCCATAATGGGTCCCCTTACGATCGGTTCTGCACTAAATAACCGGGTAGTTCCCAATGAAAAATTTGCTTTGTGATAAAAATTTCAAAATGATCTGAGTCTCTAAACTCATCTTGCTCCAAAAATTATAAGTCAATCAGAAGTGACTCTTAAGACAAAACTCTGACTTGAGTTGTACAAAAACGCATTAAAACAATATTATTTTGAAATTTCATATATAAACATACTTATGGGTGTCAATAATAAATCTTAATTTTCACCTTTTGAATTGAATCCATGGACAGAGTGTCAAAATTTTGCTTAGCTGCACGTACATGGGCCTGGGCTGTCCTAAATTTGTCTACGCCTCTTCCTGTATCGGGATCTAATTCCGCACTCGCTGATTTCATCCACTCCAAAGCTGCTCTATACTCAGTACGTTCTTTTTCCATATTAGATATAGTAGATTGAGTGTCGATAATTGCGCGATTTCGAAATATATCTACTTCATGCTGCAACCTTAATAGGGGTACTCTTATGCACATCCTCTGCTGACCACAATATGATACTGATTTTCCGGTATTTGTTATACTTTGACTAGTTGTCTTACTCCTTTTGCCTGCTTCTTTCAAAAATCTTCCGAAAAGAGATTCTTCCTGAGAGAGTATACATAATCGTTCTTGATATTGCTCGATTATCTTACTTAGTTCGCTGCTCGTCTCCGCAATAGACTTAAAAATTTCAATTTTTGCGTCTAGCTCTGCGTCAGAAGAGATAATATACTCATCCTCCTTGGTTCCTAACTTTCTCTGGACGGTTTTTTTTGTAACCCAAAAATGTTGCATGATGCCTTCTGTAAAGTAAGAAAAACTATTTATTATTGATTTTAAATTATTATTTACTGTTATAAACTTTTTTACAATTTGCAAGCTGTGAAATATGCTACGTTTTTGCTTCTTTTTTGGTTAATGAATAATATCTGAAAAAAGTGTTGCCAATATTAAAGATAAATATTCCTATTCGAGCAGTAATGAAAGGCATTACCTAATGTAGCGCGTGTATTTCACAACAACATAATTAGAAATGTTACTTAAATGAACGCGTGACGCTTAAAGGGAAAAACCTACCTAAGAAGAACAAGTTAAAGAGCAGTAAGTTCGGCCGAACTTTGAAAACAATCCACCATTTTAAATGAATTTGGAACTAAAATCCTTAAAAATTCAAATTCGAAATAAACTATGAATAATGTAGCTAAAATCATCAATATATCGTATGTAGGGAGGTACCGTTATATCGGAGCTGTGCGAAGACCTGGACCAGCATAGACAATTTTCTATCATAGGCTGTAGCATCCATAACGAACTTCAAATACGACATCGCAAACAATTTCTGTGGGTATTGTACTTAAATACCGAATATAGGGAGGTACTGGTATATGGGGCCTATACGAAGACCTGAACCATAAACAATTTTCTCTCACAGACTGTAGTGCCCATTACGAACTCTAAATACGTAATTTGAAAAAATTCCGGTGAATAATGACGCTAAAATCATCAAAATACCGAATGTAGGGAGGTACCGTTATATGGGGGCTATATGAAATTAACCTGCCTACTGGAAAAATAAACCTGTGTGCAAAATTTTAGCCTTCTATCTCAATTCGTTCGCTAAATCGACTTAGAATTATACGCTGATCAACAATATATATACTTTGTTGGGTCTGACATGAGTATTTCGAGAAGTTACAAACGGAATGACAAAGTTAATATACCATACCTCCATAGTATGGTGGAAGGTATAAAAATTGTATCGGCATATTACTCGAACCATGGTACAATGAAATAAGGGTAACACCATGGTGGTAACCTATGGATTTATGAATATAAAATTTGACAATGAAATGTTGTCATATGTATAAATTTTAAAAAATTGTATATATATGACTACATGACTTTACCTTTTTAGTTCTACCATGACCCGAACATGCAATGTCCACATCTTGAAAGGAACAAAATAAAATAAAAGCAAATTTTTAAAAATTAGAAAGTTCCTGAAAATTTTAACATAGCTGAAGCAAAGTTTAACCATTTTAAACGAGTGGCTTTTATTTATTATAAATTTTTGCAATTCTTTCTTTATTATATTCGTTAAAATCATACTTTTGATCGGATTTCGTGTTGTTTTGATAAACACAAAATGAAATTGCATGCGACATGCCCACAAACGTTAAGGTGAGGGTAGGTTAGGTTAAAGGATGCGCGGTTGTAAGAAAACAACCACTCCACTCGGAGACCTTTTGGTTTCTTACTCGTCCTGACAAAGCCTGCTGTATTCAGATGTCATGGCCTTAATGTTGCAGTGTCCTGTAATTAGGCCTACCACAAGCTTCAAGCCCAGCTTGTTGTCCAGGGACCCAACAGAGTTTCACAAACGATTTAGCCTTTTCCAGAGTATTCCTGCATTTCAGAACCGCCATAGATTTGATTGTAAAAGAATTCAAGGCCTTCAGGGCCGCTTGACTATCGACATATCTAGTCACCGGTCCGTCCAGTTCATTGATTCTATTTGCCAGCAGCTTTATGGCCTTCCTGACAGCGAAGATTTCTTCATGAAAAACACTACAGCCATAGTTTAAACGGCTCACGTTCCACTTTCCATCTTCGATCCATCTACCGTTAAAAGGTGGTATGTCACGAGTCCAAATGTCTCTGTTAGGTATATGGATATCAAGTAGTTCAAAGCTGTGCCTAGGTGATATAAAATCACTAGCTATAGTCTGATTTACTATACTTCCCACATACTTGATAATGGCAGAGTGTCCGAATGGCTGACTCCGCCATTGACCCAGTTCATTGAGCCGAGGGAACACCTAGCAGCCTGTTCCCCTACAATAAGACCTAACGGTTTTAAATTTAGTAGGGTGTCTAGTGCGGATTGGGGTGTACTCCTAAACGCGCCTGTACTTAGTAGCGATGCAACTTTTTGGACTTTATTAATGCTTTTGGTGAACGTGGTTTTCCCTAAGGAATGTCACCAAACAAGCCCCCCATAGGTTACAATTGGTCGGACGACAGACTCATATTACCATCTGATTATGTGCGGCTTGTGACCCCAGCTTTTTCCCATGGAGTTTTTCCAAGAATAAAGTGCAATTAAGCCCTTCTTCGCTCGCTCCTCGATGTACCTCTTGCAGTTTAGCTTCTGGTCTAGGATGGTGCCGAGGTATTTGGCTTCCGAGGAAAGGCTTAGCATAACACAATCAAGGATAGGCAGCGAAAAGTTTGGTATTTTCAGCTACCGTGTGAAAAGTACGAACTCAAGTTTTGATGGGTTCACGCCAAGTGCATTGCAGCGTGCTTATCTGGAGAGTTTAACTAGAGCTCCCTGCATAATATCTAAAACAGTTTTGGGAAATTTCCAAGCAATCAGCAAGACAACATCATCGGCGTAAGCCACGACCTTTGTACCACCTTGTTCCAGCTCCATTAGAAAAAAGCCACCACTCTGGCTTTTGGTGATAAATGAACCCCTCCTTGCGGGGTGCCCCCGTGACCGATTTTCTGACAGAACACTAACTGATGCTTGAGTTGATGATTCTGCTGCTGAGCATGGCATCAATCCAGTCAACTAGGAGTGGTGGTATACTAAGTTTTACTAGGGAACTATGAATTGCTTCAATATCGGGAAAGGCTGCCAAAGTGAAACACGAGTTGTTTAGGGTTTTCTCTACACAACAAACGAAATCGTGTTGCGCTCATTCAACAGATCTGCTTTTCCTATAGGCATGTTGAGCTGTGCTCAACGAGGTCAGGGGTATCATAGATCTAATCTCAATGTCTAATAGTCTCTCCAGCGTTTTCAATAGAAATGATGAGAGACCAATATGCCTGTAGTCCTTTGGATGCACATGACTTGGTTTCCCAGCCTTGGGAAAGTAAGTGACTGTAACTTCCCACCACAGTGATGGAATGTGAGAGAGGCGCAGGTATGCCTTAAAAATCGCCTCCAGAACTGGTATTATTAAAGTCGACGCATGCTGTAGCATTGCGGGAATAATGCCATCTGGTCCCGGTGACTTCTCAGTCAGACTAACATCCTCCACCCCATGATGCTCAATAGACCGATCTAACAATTTGTCATTTACCGCATCGAAGCAGTTCGGAAAGTGAGTATTGGCTAACAGGTTGAGTGTCTCTAGACCAGAGTCAGTCCAGCTACCGTCATTCCTCTTTATACATCCAATGGATTTGGGGTCCGGTGAAAGCAATCTACGGAATCTGGAGGCTGCGTTGACATCTTCTATGGGCTCAGTAAAGCAAACTCAAGACCTTCGTTTGGCCTTCTTGATTTCACTGTTGTACTTTTGAAAGTTGATTTGTAAGCCTCCCAGTCTGTACCCAGTTTGGTCTTGTTGGCCCTATTGTAAAGGCGTATACTTATCTTCCTGAGCTGGGCTAGGTCTTTGGACCACCAGGCAGGTTGACACCCTTTTCCCGGGAAGGTAAGCGACACAAATTAACGGACTCGTCCACATCGGAGGCGGAGTCTACTGGGAGATTACCAGTAGATCTCAGCTTCCATGCAGTGTGCTCCGCAAATTTTTCTCATCGGGCTTTTCTCGGGTTCCTATGCGGTTGTTGATGCAATCCCTCTACCGATACCTGGAATGTTAATTTCCGATATTCCGAGAAGGAACAATCGGTGGAAACTTTCCAGCTCAGTATGAGTGACTCGTCCAAGTTAGTAAGGGTGAGATCAATAACCACCTCCTTATTCCTATTTTGAAAAGTTGCCTCATTTCCCCAGTTACATATTTTGAGATTATGTGTTAAAATTAAATCAAAAATAGACTCACCTCTTGCGTCCGTGTCCTTACTGTCCCATTGAAAATGGTAAGCGTTAACAACGAGATTGCCTCTGCTTCCCAGCTCCGTGAACAGCCTCTCTACTACTTAGCCTGGCGGGTCGGGGTACTCAAAGGGTAGGTAGATGGAGGCAAAAAAGAGTACCCTTCCGGATCGTGCTTCCATCCTAACCGCCGTGGAGTCTCCCCCCCTGAAATTGTTGAGGAAGATTAAATTTAAGTTCCTTTTAGCGACGATACACGTTCTGACCTTTTCTCCATTGGAGTTGGAATTGGTAATGTACCGCTCACTCCCTAACCCAGTCAGCTATTTTTGACTATATAACGTTCTTGGACCAGGGCTATGTCTACTTCAAACATGGTGAGGGACAAGAGAAGTTCAGCTGCGGCTGTCTTGCAGTGGTGCAGATTAATCTGCACAACGTTGAGCAGCTGGGGCTTCCTTCCTCCTACTGCGACGTCGGGATTAGACGGAATCGAATCCATCCTGTGACAAAGTGCAGTCCTGGCCACCTGTATCAATAGACACTTTGATGACGAGGCCTCCCCCCTCCGTGCTTGAGCCGACTAAACGCCAGCTCTCCGTACTGAGGTTGGGATTTTGTTTCCCCAATTTTGTCAGCACGCGTGTCGGATCCACTGAGGGTGGTGGCACCCATGCTGTCAATATTCTCCTACAGGGAATTTCCTCTAGGGATATAGCAGCAAGTGCAATTCCATCCCAAAGGCCTTGAAAGCCAGCTACTGCGGTCACGAGGAAGTTTTTGGACTCCTCGTTCTCGCAGCAGATGACCCTCACTCCTTTGTAGAGTGTAGCACTGCCGAACTGTAGCCGTAAAGCATCCTCCCCTAGGAAAACCAACTCCCTCAGACGGTCCTCAATGAGAAGCCACCGAATTTCGCTGAATTTGCCTTCCGTCTCAGCTCGGTCGATAACCGCTACACGGAGGTTGTCCGGGCAGGTGGTTTTGGAATGTTTTCTTTTCCTGTTATGTTGACTCGAAGGCTGCGGGTTGGCGGTTACAGGTTTAGCCTTAACAGACCTAGGGCCTGTAGGGGCTGCCTGAGCAGGGGCTGCATAGCAACGTCCTTCTCGCCGTCCTCTCTTCAGCGTTAACCGCGAGGAGGGATTGATCTCCTTTTGGCACCACCAGA